TGTTTTCTTTTTGTCTCCATACAAATTTCTAGACTCAAATATAGTGATGTTCATTTACGATGACTGATGTTTATCGACAATTAATTTTTAAAATGTTTGAATTTCTTACTATGATTTTTGTAATTAAAGTCCCTAAAATATCGAAGCGAAAAGCATTCACGTGAAATTGATTTCCTTTATTTTATTGTTACTGTTATTACTAAACATTTTATTTCGAGTAACTTTAACACAACTCATATTTCGGACAACCGTTTCAATTTCATGTCCATTTGTATGTTGATGTTGCTTGAAGAAAAATGTAAGTGTATTATTGTCTTAGATAATTTAGATATTTAAATTTCATTATACTCGTAGATTAAACGTAGAATATTTTTGATTTTGAAGTTTTTCCAATGAATTCAAAATAAGAGAAGGTTGGATTGAAGCTGCAGGCAAATCGAAATATTGGTTTTCTTATTACTATTTCTGACTTTGTTTAAAGTTCCATAGCAAATGTATTTAAAAAAATAAATAAAAAACAACATAATTTAATTTATTAAATTCGTTGATGGTCCGAGTTTGCGCTTGACAATGACTGCTTCACCAACCCGTGGTAACGTATAATGGAAAACTGACACTGGCGACGATCGCCATATTTTTTATATTATTCTTATAAAACTGACAATGGCCCAAGCCTAGTGGCCGCCATTAAGAAAATGATAATAATTTATATTAATATATTAATTTAATAATACACCAGTACCAGTGTAGGTATAGTATGAAAAATGGAATATTTTTTTTAATATTAAAAACAGCCACATGGTTTCCAACTACGGTTAGGTAGGACCACATCCCTCGTTGAGTAGCGTCAGTTTAAGTTTAATAAGGTTAACAATTCACAGAGTGGTTTCCATCCGCGCCCGCCGGTGCTTTGGGACAGCGGTTTATTTTTTCAATATTCTCGACCCTGCAAGTTTGTGCAGGCACCTAGCCGCCGCGGCTGCGGGCACGAAACCGTTGCGACTGCGGAACGGACCGCGAAGTTAGTGGGAGTTAATCGCAAGTCGCGCGGTTAATAGAGAACTCATCCCACGTCCGCCTGAACCGTTTGCCAAAGTACGCGGGCGACGACGACTGCCAAGCGCTCAGGTGGTCGCATCCTGCGCGGTTCTACTAGTATCCCGCCGCGGCAACCGCGAGCAACCGTCACGCGTGAATCGCGCCGTGAAATGTGCTACTAATTTTACATACTTAACTATCACATTCTACAGATGCCGCAGGACCGCGGCAGGCGTGGGTGAAAACCGTTCCGTGAGTTCTTAGTGTAACGAAAAATGAGTTTGAGCGCCATCTAACGTGTAATAGTTGGCTATTATATACTAGTAGCATTTTTACTAAAACGCTACATGATGGTGACTGGCTGAACCAGGATGAAAAAAATACTGAAATATTGTAATATAACTCTTACTCAAGTGGCTGTAAGTTTAATTATTTTAAATTTTAAAATTGTGTTACGACGTTTTCACGTTTTAAGCCCTATTCAATCAAAATCTTTAAGTTATGGTAGTAGATAATAGAGCGTAAAGTTTGAATTGCACACAAGCTAAAAAGTGGCGACATCGGTACCCGATCTTACATAGCGTCATTACATATCTCTCCTTTTTTCTATATCTATGGTCGGGTCGGGACCAAGGCGGGTCTAATTCCGTGTATTTGTATCCATACAAACTTTTACGTCCCGCTTAATTCTTGTAATTTTACTTTAAGGCATTACGCGAGCTTACATTTTACGTGGTTAGGTGTGGGGGACCGCCCCTTGCGTCGCGCAACACGCGCGCTGAAAATTAATATGAAGATAACTTTGACACAGGTGCGACGTCGACAAGCAACAGATCCGACGGCGACTGACGGAGCAGTGGGCGGCACGGCGCGTTATTAAACCGCTGCACACCGAGGACCGTCCATACAAGGTAGTGTTCAAAACCAAATTTTAAAATTGATCACATTACACGTAAAAATACTCGCTAGTAGAGACGCTAACTGCTGTCAGTTGTGAAGTGCAACAGCTCAAAGTTTGCTCTTTACGCTAAATAACAATTATTTCGTAACGTACGTGAGATTATGTGCAATATTTAGACATTTATATCGTACGTTTGGTATTAAAATCGGTTTTAAGTGCGTTGTCAGTGACTAAGCAGGTATGTTGAGTCTCCTAACATTATTATTATTTTATTAAGTTTATCAGTATCTGATATACGTACTTTACGGAATAATTAACATTTAGCGTAAAGAGCAAATTTGAGCAGATGCACTTCTCAACTGACAGTAGTTAGTTAGTTAGCTCAATATTTTTACGCGTGATGTGATACTTTATTACGACTACGCTATTTTTTAACCGACTTCAAAAAAGGAGGAGGTTTTCAATTCGACTGTATGTTCTTTTTTTTCTTTTTTTTTCTTTTTTTTTTTGTATGTATGTTACGCGATAACTCCGGTATTTGTGAACCGATTTTCATGATTCTTTTTTTGTTGGAAAGGGAGTATTTCCATAGTGGTCCCATTTCATTTTGAAGAAAATCATCCACCTCAAAGGGTGGCTGCTCACGCACGAAGATTCATTTTTATAAATAGTGCCTAACTTTAATTTAGGAGCAATTACTTTTAGCAATTATTTAGTTGATTTTGCTATTTCTCCAATTCAAGGCGTTTTTCTCTCGATATACTTTGAGTAGTGTCGTAGTGAGAACCTATTTTTATTATCTCCAGTATCAAGTCCTGTATAGTGGCGAACTAGGGGATATTTCAATGAAACTTAGCAAATAGACGTAATTCGACGTACTTTTGAGGTCGGTTTTTTTAGTACTCTGTACTGAATTAAATACTCACATTTTGGAAATTGACTTTTGAGTAGTACCTTGTATGCAAATGCATAATTTGCAAATTTTTTGGTTATTGTGAATTTAATAACTAAGGGTTTCAGTTGAAAACCAAAATTTTGCAGGTTCTCTGTAGTACTTATAGGGAAATATCTCCATATAAAAATTATGTGCAAGGTTAGATATTGTATTCTTAAATTATTCGTTTTAGACGTTAGTTTTAGCGTGTTTTCAGGACTTTATATGATCGTGTAACAAATTAGCACATTCTTTAGACAAAATATCCTTAGGTGTATCGTATATTATTTGATAGACCATTATTTAATAGTAAATACCTAAGCCATTTGATCTAGCTAAACAATTTTTCCCGCTTCTCTGCCAGTGACTAGCCATAACTAATCTGTATGATTTTAATTATTAATACAAAGATCGAACACTCAGAAAAAATTGCTTCGATCCGGTCGGATTCGAACCGAAGTCTTCTTGCATACCGTGCCAGACGCTATACCAACTAAGCCACGGAACGAACCAACGGACCTCACGAATTTTTCTATGTGCTTGCGTCGTGTCTTTGTACTTGGTCTTTCAACGACTTTTTAGTCGTAGCGCCATCTATGAGAAATCTATGACAGATTTATCACCCAGTTAGTACCTTTACAGCTACCAGTCCTGGCGAGAGATGTCGCTATTCACTGTATTAATTAAATTTTTATTGAATTGATATTCTATTCAATTATTTTTTGTGAAATTACTCCACTAGTTTGTTATAATTATTAATACAAAGATCGAACACTCAGAAAAAATTCCTTCGATCCGGTCGGATTCGAACCGACGTCTTCTTGCATACCGGGCCAGACGCTATACCAACTAAGCCACTATGATTTTGTTAAACGTTATTTTATCAAATGAGAATCGTAATCATTGTATTTTTACAGTAAAAAATACACAATAACTTTTAACATTAGATTTTGAACTCATCTTTAAGTTTTTGCGCACACATATTGTTATTATCATATATTGTCTTCATGAAGCGTGAAGCAAATATTTTTACTGAGTAAATCCCGTTGCGCATAATTTTGCATGCCTTCATTTAATATTTAAATAAATTATTCGCAACTGTGTTGGCAATTATGGTAACCCGGATATGTGTCTTTACATTTTTTGTTTTGTGTTTTTTTTGTATAAGATGGCGTTAAATTCCCTTGCTTTTAAAATTTTTCATCTTAATGTACATACTTATATAATGAAATTGTGTTTTTCGTCAATAAAGGCACAACAAGAGATGGGCTTTTACCCGATAAACATCCGTCTTAGGATAAATATACGTTTTTACTGAGTATTTATCCTAAAACATGGATAATTATTTTTTTGTGTTTTTATAATAAAATTCATTAGAATAAATTAATTAAATAATTACGTTTTTGCCATTTTTTTATGTAAGAATACGTTTTTCGAGTCGAGTGGTAATAAAAAATTCGATTGACAGAAAGTTGTCATTTTAACTGTAACCCTTGAGCTGACCTATCCTGCGTCAATAAAGTAATAATAAAAATAATAATAACGTACACACTCAACATAGCCCCGCACTAGGGAAACCCTGTGTCGCGGGTGCCATGGACACACACGTAGACAACCACAAATTGCACCCAAACTCACGAGAGAAACAAATGTAGGCCATACAAATAATTCTCCCGGTCCAGGAATCGAACCTGGAACCTTGACGTGGCAGTCCGGCATGGTAACCGTTCGGCCACGGAGGCAGTTAATAAAGTGCGACTCAACTTTATGGTCTTGAGGTCTACTGCGTACTAAACAAAGTCATATTTGGACTTGAAATAGCCTAAGGATTCTCTTTCACATTCACACACAAAATTTATTAATTAAAACACGCGATACAGAAATTAGATGCTTACAATTGTGTAGGTACACAAAATGTTTTAAAAGTATACTTTGTTTTACTAAATATAAATAATAAACCTCGATTAAAAATATTTATCTACGTTTTTGGATAAATATCGAGTAAAAATGGATATTTATCCTGAGTATTTATCCCAATGACATTTATCCATGACCCATCTCTAGGCACAACGAAACTTCCCTTCCTTCAAATGATATCTAAGTTACAAAAAAGTGAACAAGACTCACCTGTCTCCAGGTCCAAGTTTATTACTCTCAACAATCGCGGTTGCTCTGATCCGATGATCAGGCTCACCGATCAGTTTCTCGCACCGACCGTTGCTCAGATGCTCCCGCACAACTGACAACGCGTCACTAACTTCACTCACTGTCACTGATTCCACACTCACTTCACACTTCACTTCCAGTTTCTCACTTTTATCCTTTTCGTGTTTCTCAGGTTCTGGTTCGTCGTCTTTAACCCCGTTGGAGATTATAGGTGCTGGTTTGGCCTGGAGAGATTTTGGCTGTGACTTTGGCGAGGATATCGTGGGCTTACTCTCGATTGCCCCGTTTTCATTGATACTGGTTACGTAGACTGTCGAGTTGGCGATGTACCCGTTCAGTTCTCGGTTCTCAGGCTGCGGTCGACGCTTGCGGCTTAACTAGAATTAGGAGAAAAGATTTATTAGTTTAGAATGTCCTGTCTTTTCTTGAATACAGCAGGAAAATATAAATTGCGTACTATAAAACATGTCTGAGAAGACAAACAAATCTGTGATGAGGATCGACAAATTTAACATCCTAATCGCCTTCAAAGAGCTTGTATTTTTCAGCGATTCTTGTAACAACGCTTATCCTTAAGAGTCTATGCTACCTCAGATTGAATTCAATTTTTTCCGTTACTAATACGGTTCATTTTGCGTGGTTCGAGCGGCAGGAATACAGGCTTTATTTCAGAATTAATTTGTTTTACAAACGAAACTAAAACTGTCTGAAAAGAGTTTTTCATATACTATACGTAATCTATTTAGTTCAGTTGATACATCAAAAATCATTGGTATATATAAAATACCTATTGAATACTGCGGTTCTCTTGTGAAATTTCGAGGTAAGTTTTTTTTGTATTGTAAAAATGTTTAGGAATCGTGTTTTCCACACCACATAGTAATCAGTGTATATCCTCAATTGTACTATATACTTATTTTTTCCGAATGCATTGATTCCACACTTTGACTGTTATCTATGCGGAATCAATCAAAGCCATTTGAGGTTGTATAGACTCTTACCCCTTCAATAAGCTTAGCAATTTGGGCGATAATGACAATTTCCACTCATCACTTCTATTAGAATATAATATTGACATCTTCATGAGTGCATTGACATCAAAATCTAGAAATCGTAAGCTCACATTTCTTAAACCAGATTAACTAACAGAAAAACCTAACAATGCTTCATCCATAACAAATGATGAAAACTGTATCATAACGCAGTACGAACGTTAACTGTATCTCTAAGCCGAGACCATTAGCGTCGCTACAATTTGTATTACGGTTTTTTAAAACAACATCACTAATAAGATAGTTAGGGGACATCGTAATTACATAACCAGTTAAATGAGTTCGGAGATAGAGAGAAAGCTGACCTGGGAAGCCCATGGTTGGGTTACTCGAACAGGTTTACGCTTCAGAATCTTTTAAACTGATTCAGTATTTTAGTATTACCACAGATAAAATAATATTATACTAGTACAGATTCTCAATCTCTTACACAGAAATGTCGCACTCGTAACTCCGCCTATGCGAGCGCTTATTTTAATTCTTAATGCTGATCAATAGATGGTACCTAATAAACCCGCGATGAGATTGTAATAGTATTCAAAAAGGCCAACATATGGCGTCAATTGCATTTCTGTCACGGTTATATTGCTCTTCTCCGTTGACTATTATATAATATCAATAACATATTATTATTATTAAATCGCATAGCTGAGTTTGTATTTTAAATATAAACTAACGTGAATGTTAAAACGTTACTTACTTTCTTTAAATAAATTCAAAAAAATGCCATCTATACAATTTATGCAAACTAACAAATAAAAAATACACCATTGTGAACCTTTGTTATCTTTTCAGCGACAGTTTTCATTTACAAAATTTTAATTGACATTCCTAAATGTCGTTTAAATAGTTTTGCATTTGTTTTTACGTTTGAGGTATAAAATTATTTTGTATGATGTACCTCAAATTTTTGAGATTCAATAATTTTTATTGTATCCAAGTGTCGCCATCCACAGTTTTAAATATGTACTAAAATCAAATTGTGTGAATTGATACCCCATAGTATTGCATATGCAATTGTGGAAGCTTTGAAAAAGTCATGGACAATGCTGAACTATCCGTATCTTCTCTTGGGAGTCGTAATTAGCAAAGTTGAGGCGTTACCATCTTAAGGGTTATTTTTGCGCAATTGCAACGGCAGTAAATAGCTGCCACCCGCAGCTTGCTTATTCTTGATAATCAATGACGTTTAAGGGCTCTTTCAATTTATTTGTTTCTCCAATATAATATTACATTAAAGTATAAGAACTTATATTGAGATCGTGAAACTTATAAAAAAAGAATTTGAAAAAATTAATAATAATAAAAGAAACAATTAATTAGTAATAAATATTGCTGTCATTAAATTATATTACAAACATTATTTCGACATGCAGCGTTGTCGTAAGTGTCTACAATATATCATATTTTTATTATAAACAAAAGTTTTTCACAAGAAAAGGTGGATAAAGCAAGGGATGCGGCTTGGTGCCATCTCCGCTTGCTCACAAAACTCTTATGGAACTGGGTAGTCTTCATTTTTCTGATAGTACATACCGATCATGGGGTAAATTGAGATTGTGGAAGCGACTCTTAATGCAAGTATATTATGGTGCTAAATGAGAAAATTTCAGGAGAGAGGTTTAAATATTCTACGAAGGAAATTTGTCGTTAACTGTTTATATTTAATTAGGAGAGTTATAAAATTTCACATAGACATAATTTGTTGCATGTAGTCCGTATTATTTTTATGTATGACTTTCATGTGATTAAAAGCACATTCCGATACCACTAATAACACTACGTGAATTTAATTTTTGGACCTGTTCTGTTTTTATTTTGTTTTTCGTTTCTTTATTTTTGTAATCACAAAATTCGCGCTTTTGTTTTGTTTTTCGAGTTTTGTTTTTTCTTTTATTTTGTTTTTCACATAATTCGGGGAGCATAACATTAGTAAATAAAAATGGCTGTTTACATAAGTTTTTTGTAAAAAAAAACCGACCTCAAAAGATCGTGGAATTACATCTATTTGCCAACTTTTATTGAAATCGGTTCCCGGGAAGTGCGCGAAAGAGGATGTATCCCCTAGATAGCCACCATTAGAGGTGGAATATTTTCTTTAAATTTAAATGAGCCCAACACCGAGGTACCCTCTTTACAACAAAAAAAGAATTATCAAATTCGGTTCACAAATGCCAGAGAAATCGCGTAAACATACAAACAAAAAAATCAAATCTAATTGAGAACCTCCTCCATTTTTTAAGCCGGTTAAAAAATAACAGAAAATGACCAAAAAATAAAGATGGCGTTCATTGGAGGCATCGTTTTCACATATGATCACATGTGTCTTTATTACACCAAGGTTACAAAGTGCTGAATTGCAGCTTTACTACGGTCACCAAACTTTCGGCGTAACGAGATTATTATTTAAATTGAACTCATTTTTCAAGATGCTATTCCTTATTACTAAAACTCTATGGCAGAAGAAGCACCATCGCACACTGATATTGTCGCCGTACACAGAACTAATATCAGATGATAATTAATACAAGATCTTCCTGTTGTAGTCGCTCGATTCATATAATTTAAACTTCTCATACCTTTACCTAGATACTTACTTAGACATATACAGTGTTACCATTAATATCCGGTAAGGTGGGTTACTCCTACCTCGTAAGCTAGTAAGGTGCTTATTATTGATTTCCTTCGATGTAATTATTAGTACCACTTTGTGATTATAGCGTCTCATCGTAGATCAAGGTCTAATCAAGTTATAGTGCCAATGGCTGTTTGCCATTACAAAAAAATCAGAGGCGAGAAAGGTATGGCGAAGACACATGGAGATTGCCAAGAGATAGTTGTACTGTAAGCATAGTATAATGAGACAAGTATGGTAACTCCATACAAACGTAGCAGCGCAGTGTGTACACAATCGCCGCGCGCCTTATACTGACGCACACATTCGCATAATCTCGTGGTGCACTCGCATTGCACAGCGAGGGTTGTCACACGCGCTATTAATCATAGAATTGAAGCGACCGCTCGATGTTTAAAAAATTACATCATGTAGACGTTTATTGTTGTGTTTGTGATAGTTTGAACTAGAGTGACTCAAAATCAAAATTGTTCATCATTTAATTTATATTTCATAATCAAGATACCAATCTGCGATGTTGGTTTTACATACCAATATGTAAGTACTTACTGCATTTACGTGTCTTGTGTTGGATACAAGCAACCGGCAACAGAAGCGAACATTTTATTTTCATACAATTGCGGTTGCCGCAATCGGCGACAGTGTTTAACTGCAGCAACCAGCGACTTTGTCGATTTCATATATTAAATTGTAAGCACTTAACAAAGGTTTTTTCAATATAGCAGAGAATACTACCACAAACACCAAATTTTTTCAAATTATATTTTACAACCTGTAGGTGCAACTAGTGTTGGGTCATGTAAAAATCTTATTTTTCAAAAAATTAAATATATTTGCCTTTCATTTTCTACATTTGACGTTGACACCTGTCAAAATTTAGTTTCTGAACGAAAACGATGGAGCCCTTAAAAAAGATTATTTTCGCTATTGTGAAATCATTTTAAATCTCATTTTTCTCTAAGTGGCTTTTATCTATACAAGTTTATTTTATAATTCACGCTAAATAAAACTTCAAAAGATGTTTCTAAACGTAGAACATAATATGAGCCCCCGAAATTATATTTAAATAACCTCCGGACAAAAAAACCGACCTTAAAAGTCATTCATCCCCTAGTTTGCCACCCTTAGAGGTGGAATATTTTCTTGAAATTTAAAACCACACGGGACCACATCTAAGGGTCATATTCCAGAACTGTACTCAATACTCAAGTCCTGACTTGAGTATTGCAGTGAGCACTGAAAATCATACCCAAGTCCATTAGGGTCGTATTTCCAGTGCTTGAAATCATACTCAAGTCTGCTCAAGTCCTGACTTGAGCATTGAGTAGAGTTCTGGAATATGACCCTAAGAAGCCTTCTTTCCAACAAAAAAAGAATCATTAAAATTGGTGCACAAATAGCGGAGTTATCGCGTAA